GGGGGGGGGGGGATGTTAGAAAGTTGGGAGAGTTATGTATTTTTTCTTTTTGCTAAAGGGGTAGTCTGATGTTTTTCTGAGACCATTCTCTTGCAGGATTAATAAACAAAAGGACTAAAATTGTTTCAAGTGATGGTTCTAGTGTGCACAGCAATGAGCTTATTTTCCAAAATGCCAAACTCTCCCTTTAAGTTTTAAATTTACAGTACACCATTTTCAAATCTTTTGGAGAAACAAGTTTCATAAGTGAAATGCAGTTGTTATATTATTTAGTTAATGGGTACACGGTGTTGCAGTTTTAATAAAGTCAAGAGTAGGATCCACATAAAATATGAACAATGCTGGGGAGGGTCTTGCAAAAAAAAAAGGAATATAGGATTGAAACCTGCCTAATTTCATACAGTACCTCGCTGTGTCTCTATTCTGTGGACATTAGCTGTGATGCTGCGGGGGTTTCGTTTATGTTGTCTCTTTTAACACAGTGGAGGTTCAGGATGGCACAGCTGCTGCAAAAACACACGTGAGAGACTGTAGTTTTTCATGCTCTGAGAGCCAAATCAACCTCTTTTTTGTGTCTGTGCTTAATGCTTTTGACAGAGGGGGTTGCCTGGCTGCTCCCTACCCATCACACCCACCCATCATGACCTTGCGCATGATCACAGATGACTGGAGTGGTCGTATATTTTTTTTCACCTCTTTGTGTTTCTTTTCTCTCTGTTTCTGCCACAGGGTTCATTCTGTTTTGACTGACACCCTGAAAGATTTCTGTGTTTCTCGAGTTCCTATTTTAGGTGTTAGAAATTAGACAATGTGTCTCAGTTGTTAACTTGTACTTATTAACAGTCTTGCACTGCTTCAGGCAGGAAATGAGACTCTATAAACAGACGAGCAACAAGAAGAAGCTGTTTTGTCTATTATGGTCAATCATAACATTGTCCTTTTGTGATAAAACTCTTGTCCAAGCAAGAAACAACAAGGAAGTACAACTGATATCAGCTTGTTTGTGATTTTCTCAGTGGAGGAAAGAGTCAAATGCATGATCACAAGATACAGTAACTCTTCAATTGTTTGTGGGGAAACAGTGTGGTTTATGTTGCTTTGGGCACAGTAAGAAACTGAATTTCATAACACTTCTGGTGATGTGATGCAACGCTTCTCTTGGAAAGAGTCCAAGAGAAAATTGCATCTTTCAACTGTTAACTCTGCAATAATGTCATTGTCAACTAACAAGCTCTGTTAACCCGCTATACACCAAAGGCAGTGACCTAAAAAAAAATAAAAATAAAGTATGAATATTGATTTTAATACATGACTTTGCCCGGAAGGATGTGACGTACCAATCCTCTGTGGTTACAACCATATGTTCCCTCCGGTGCACAAACAATTATCCACATTGATTCATCACATTTGTTTTCCCATGAAACCCCCTCTCCCACACACACACACACACACACCAACTGGACACATGCTTGGCCTTATGGGAAATCCTCCAACAGCGGGCCCTGGGTTACAAATAACCACATCCTCCTACGTTGCTCACAGTTGTGCAGCATCTACTGGACTAACCTTTGTAATGTAACGAGAGATAAAGTGGCACCAACAAGAGTCTCAGTCCTTCCAAGTGAGCAGTACGGACAAAATAGTAATAGTTGAAATTGAAACAATTAATTTCTCATGAAGGCACAGTAACAGACTCAGTAATGTCAAACAGTACACCGAAATATCTATGTATAACATTACAGTGTATTAAACTGCATAAAGTTTTCATTTGTAAGACAAAGTCTGTGTTATTTCCTCCTGCAAAAGTTACATAGTTGAGCTTTAAATCAAGTAAAGACAGTAATATCTTTTAAATGTCATACTTTTATTGGAGAGCTTTGCATGACTTTTTCTTTTTAACTTAATTTTACTTCAGTTGACTTTTGATGTCTTATTTTATTTTACTGGTTCCACTTTAATGTCTCTTGTTACTGTACATGTTTTACCATTTGATGCTAATCAGTTGCCTTTGTGAGGCCCTTTTTTCTTGATTCTTAAAGTGCTTCTCAAAAAACATGTAGTTATGAATGACGAGTGCTCATAATTTAGTTTAATGGTTTTATTATTACTGTAACGTTATTTGTGTTTTGTATTTTACTGTATGTGTTCACCAATTGAGCTGCATGTATTTGTAATACCCATCTAAGGACAGATGTTGCAAACTAGCTTAAAGAACCAGTGTGTAGGATTTAGTTGCAGATCCCAACTCCCTCGCTTCACCCTCCCCTTCCAAGAGCAAAAGAGAAACTATAGTGGCCAGGAAACATGGCGGTTCAACATAACGGCGCTTCAGCGCTCTGTAAATACCAATCTCAAGGTCAAAACTTCTTATTTGTTTCAGGTGATTTGATACACTAATGCAATAAAACGCATACCTCATGCAATGCATTATACGCCTCCATTTCTGGCCATATATCCCTAAAATGTCTAACACTGGAACCTGGCAAAGTCATAAGTGCTGTGGTATGTGGCATTGGTCCATACTACGTACTATTACTATTATATTTAATAATAGTCATCTTCTGCAGAAATTTTGTATACAAAGGAAGAAAAAAATAATTCCCAGACATCTCTAATTATAACCTAAACACAACCATTTTTAAACTTTATTCTCCCATCTCTAACTTTAATCTTAAAACTAAACTCAACCTTCAGGTGAGTTGGACTGATCGCCGCATTTCTATATGACTGTAGTGGAATGTCCAGGTCATATAAATTCATACACAACTTCCCTGTTACCTAATAATGAGCTGTAAACAAACAGACAATCTGCGCAGTTAAACATCTACCTGTATGACGAGGTTTAAACAGGTGCGATCAAGTACACTAAAGATAAGTGCTGAAAGTGCTATTGTCTGGAACGGCGGCACCCTGTGTGTAAATGAACATTGTACCAGAAGGCTTTTCTTCTCTCACTCAGATAAGCAGCAGCAAGATATCCAGGGTTTGTTTGTTTTTGTTTTCTCAACTTTGGTATAAAATCCTGAGATGA